GCACACCTGGCACACCTGGGCACACCTGGCACACCTGGCAGCCCCCTAAAAAACCCCAATTCTACCCCAAAAAAACCCAAAAATCCCCTAAAAAATACCCCAAAATCCTGGGGCTGTTTTAAGTTTGGGGTGGAGAGAATTGATCTGGGCACACCTGGGCACGCCTGGCACACCTGGGCACACCTGGCACACCTGGTAACCCCAATTCCACCCCAAAAAAAACCAAAAATCCCCTAAAAAAACACCCAAAAATCCCAAAATCCTGGGGCTGTTTTTAGTTTGGGGTGGAGAGAATTGATCTGGGCACACCTGGCACGCCTGGCACACCTGGGCACACCTGGCACACCTGGTAACCCCAATTCCACCCCAAAAAAACCCCAAAAATCCCCTAAAAAAACACCCAAAATCCCCAAATCCTGGGGCTGTTTTTAGTTTGGGGTGGAGAGAATTGATCTGGGCACACCTGGCACACCTGGCACACCTGGGCACACCTGGCAGCCCCCTAAAAAACCCCAATTCCACCCCAAAAAAAACCCAAAATCCCCTAAAAAATACCCCAAAATCCCCAAATCCTGGGGCTGTTTTTAGCCTGGGGTGGAGAGAATTCACCTGGGCACACCTGGCACACCTGGGCACACCTGGGCACACCTGGCACACCTGGCACACCTGGGCACACCTGGGCACGCCTGGCACACCTGGCACACCTGGCACACCTGGTAACCCCAATTCCACCCCAAAAAAAACCAAAAATCCCCTAAAAAATACCCCAAAAATCCCCAAATCCTGGGGCTGTTTTTAGCCTGGGGTGGAGAGAATTCACCTGGGCACGCCTGGCACACCTGGGTGCACCTGGCACACCTGGCACACCTGGCACACCTGGCACACCTGGCACACCTGGCAGCCCCCTAAAAAACCCCAATTCCACCCCAAAAAACCCCAAAATCCCCTAAAAAATACCCCAAAAATCCCCAAATCCTGGGGCTGTTTTTAGCCTGGGGTGGAGAGAATTCACCTGGGCACACCTGGCACACCTGGGCACACCTGGGCACACCTGGGCACACCTGGCACACCTGGCACACCTGGGCACACCTGGCACACCTGGCACACCTGGGCACACCTGGCACACCTGGCACACCTGGGCACACCTGGTAACCCCAATTCCACCCCAAAAAACCCCAAAAATCCCCTTAAAAATACCCCAAAATCCCAAAATCCTGGGGCTGTTTTTAGTTTGGGGTGGAGAGAATTCACCTGGGCACACCTGGGCACGCCTGGCACACCTGGTAACCCCAATTCCACCCCAAAAAACCCAAAAATCCCCTAAAAAACCCCAAAATCCTGGAGCCATTTTTAGTTTGGGGTGGAGAGAACTGATCTGGGCACGCCTGGGCGCACCTGGNCCATCAGGCGCCCGAGCACTCGCTGCATCTGCCCCACGCGCCGCGGCGAGAACGACTCGGGGGGCGCGCGGGTCTGCACGAACACTGCGGGCAGGGGCACACCTGGCACACCTGGCACACCTGGCACACCTGGGCACACCTGGCACACCTGGCACACCTGGCAGCCCCCTAAAAAACCCCAATTCCACCCCAAAAACCCCTTAAAAATACCCCAAAATCCCCAAATCCTGGGGCTGTTTTTAGTTTGGGGTGGAGAGAACTGATCTGGGCACACCTGGCACACCTGGCACACCTGGGCACACCTGGCACACCTGGGCACACCTGGCAGCCCCCTAAAAAACCCCAATTCCACCCCAAAAAACCCAAAAATCCCCTAAAAAATACCCCAAAATCCCAAAATCCTGGGGCTGTTTTAAGTTTGGGATGGAGAGAACTGATCAGGGCACACCTGGGCACACCTGGGCACACCTGGTAACCCCAATTCCACCCCAAAAAACCCAAAAATCCCCTAAAAAACCCCAAAATCCTGGAGCCATTTTTAGTTTGGGGTGGAGAGAACTGATCTGGGCACGCCTGGGCGCACCTGGGCACACCTGGGCACACCTGGGCGCACCTGGTAACCCCAATTCCACCCCAAAAAACCCCAAAAATCCCCTTAAAAATACCCCAAAATCCCCAAATCCTGGGGCTGTTTTTAGCCTGGGGTGGAGAGAATTCACCTGGGCACACCTGGGGAAGGTCAGGATCTAAGGAGCAGATCTGTGGGTCAGATCCGTGGGTCAGATCTATGGGTCAGGATCCATGGGTCAGATCTGTGGGTCTCACCCAGGTGTGGGTCAGATCTATGGGTCAGGTCAGATCCGTGGGTCAGATCTATGGGTCAGATCTATGGGTCTCACCCAGGTGTGGGTCAGGATCTATGGGTCAGATCCATGGGTCAGGATCCATGGGTCAGATCTATGGGTCAGGATCTGTGGGTCAGGATCTATGGGTCTCACCCAGGTGCGGGTCAGATCCGTGGGTCAGATCTATGGGTCAGATCTATGGGTCAGGATCTATGGGTCTCATCCAGGTGCGGGTCAGGATCTATGGGTCAGGATCTATGGGTCAGGATCTATGGGTCTCACCCAGGTGCGGGTCAGATCTATGGGTCAGATCCGTGGGTCAGATCTATGGGTCAGGATCTATGGGTCAGATCTATGGGTCAGGATCTATGGGTCTCACCCAGGTGCGGGTCAGGATCTATGGGGCTCAGATCAGATCTATGGGTCAGATCTATGGGTCAGGATCCATGGGTCAGATCCATGGGTCAGATCCGTGGGTCTCACCCAGGTGCGGGTCAGGATCTATGGGTCAGGATCCATGGGTCAGATCTATGGGTCAGATCTATGGGTCAGATCTATGGGGCTCAGATCAGATCCATGGGTCAGATCTATGGGTCAGGATCCATGGGTCAGATCTATGGGTCAGATCTATGGGTCAGGTCAGGATCTATGGGTCAGATCTATGGGTCAGATCCATGGGTCAGATCCATGGGTCAGATCTGTGGGTCAGATCCGTGGGGCTCACCCAGGTGTGGGTCAGATCTATGGGTCAGATCTATGGGTCAGATCTGTGGGTCAGGATCCGTGGGTCTCACCCAGGTGTGGGTCAGATCTATGGGGCAGGTCAGGATCCATGGGTCAGATCTGTGGGTCAGGATCCGTGGGTCTCACCCAGGTGCGGGTCAGATCTATGGGTCAGGATCTATGGGTCAGGTCAGGATCTGTGGGTCAGGATCCGTGGGTCTCACCCAGGTGCGGGTCAGGATCTGTGGGTCAGGATCTGTGGGTCAGATCTATGGGTCTCACCCAGGTGCGGGTCAGGATCTGTGGGTCAGGATCTGTGGGTCTCACCCAGGTGCGGGTAATACTCCGAGGGCTCCTCGGCTCCGGCCCCGCTCGACTCGTGGCTCGGCGACGGCGTCGGCGGCTTCACCATCTCGGCCGTCTGCAGGAACCTGTGGGGCGGTTTGGGGCAGTTTGGGGCGCTTTGGGGCACTTGTGGGGCAGTTTGGGGCA